TTGTTCATAAATTTAAATTGTAAAAAGACTCCGTAAATTCTGCGTGTGATTATGAATGTATTTTATTTATGTAGGACTTTAAAGGTAGTCTAACCTCGTTTTCGCAACTTGGTCTCATTGACTAGTTGTAGCTTTTGCGCTAAGAGTGGCAAGACTCACTGACGCTGCCGTCTGAAAATGTACCAAGTTCTCGGTCCGACGCTGGAAATTTTGATAATTACTTTAGCAGAGGACTTTGGGCAATGTGTGTACAAATAAGTTGCCTTGACAACACGACCAAGTTGCGAAAACGAGATCAGTCCACGTCTATACATTGATAGGAGGCTGAGCCCAAAATAGAGGCCACAAATTCTATGCAGAGCTTTAATTACGTGAAGATCATTTGATTGCCGTAAATAAGCTATCGAAACTAGAATGTAGTATGCTATCTATAGTTCATTGATGCTTAAACTGGACCCATCTTTGTGATAGTGTTGATCTCGTCAATATAATATTACTACATAAGCCGTGTTCTATGTTTGAACAACTTTGGTGTTAAGATTATCGTACTGAAGCATTAATGCTTGTTCAGTTTAAATCTAGTGCTTAGTTTAAAAGCAAAAGCCTTTCCTTGCATATAGCTGCGCTCACTCAACGGATTGTTCAGATCCTCTTTGGCATGACCTAATGTCAGGGTATATGAGATCATTCAAACATTCCGGCTCTGCATGATGATTCGATGATTATTCTATCCGCTAACGCCCTTTCCTATCCTCATCTTAGTTTAATCTATTCTTCCCTTGCCTTTTCATTGCCCCGAGCCTTCTCGCCAAATATAGTTTTGCATGAAAATATAGGCTTGTTAAATCAGATTGCATGGTCCATTGGACACACTGGAATATACTTTGAGTCAGATTCCGTTTTTTGCTCCCTTTGCTTTTTTATCGCCCTTTCAGTCCATACTGGGAAATATTTTGTTTTATAGGATTCCTCTGAAATATATATTTGGTTGCACAATCATTTCTAATATTTTATGTCTATATACTATTTCTTCTTTTAAGCTTATTTCGTAGGCTTATTTATTCTGCATTCAAATGACTCAATTTATCGGTTAGAGTGGGCTTTAGATTTTCTCAGAATTTCCCTTTAATTCTAATAGCGTGTTTCAACTGCATGCGCTTATTTATTCTTATTATATATATATATATATATGTTCCCGCATGTGCATTTGGCTAGATAGTCACGCTTGTGCAATCTGTGCTTAATTTATTCAAATCCATTGCTTTTCAGGCAGGCATTTGGATTTGAGTTTCTTATAGGATTAAATTTTATTTAATAGACATGAAGACCAAGATGACGTGGCCTTCTATTTGGTCGTAGTCCCCTTTAGCCTTATAGTGTTAGTTCGACCTCGTTTTCGCAACTTGGTCTGAGCGTCAAGGAAACCTTGTGGAACGTAGATAGTCCTGTGTTCTCTGCCATAGTATTTATGATTTCCAGCATCGGACCGTTGACTTGGTATACTCCCAGACGTTTCGCCGGCATCCTCGGCGTCTTCAATGAGAGGCGCGCTCGTTAGCACAGTTACAACTTTCGTCACTTTGACAAGTTGTAACTGTGCTAACGGTGGCGCCGACGATACCGGCGAAACGTTTGTGAATGCACCAAGTCAATGGTCGGATTCTGGAAATCACGAATACCATGGTAGAAGACACAGGACTAGGTACGTTCCACAAGGTCTCCTTGACTCTCCGACCAAGTTGCGAAAACGAGGTCGAACCAACACTTTGATTTTATTTGTTATCCATTGATCAAGTGTAGCTCGTTTTTTTATTTTTATTTCTTCTGCTTTGTCCCATATCTTTCTCTGTCCATGTGACCCGCATGCCCCTACGATCCTACTTTCTCTCCGATCCAATCTTTGGCTACTTCAGCCCAATACCAACCGACTATGCTTCATTTTTGTCTAGAGGACACTCTGCAGTCTCAACTTTCCAGTCTTCGCTTTGAGCAGCCCCACCAATTCTCTTGTTCCAATGATGGTCTTTATGCTTCTCAGTTACAGTCACGTTCCACTCAGCTCAGCAGTGATCCTACTGACCAATTATTTCACTATAACACGGCTAGCATAGGCGCTCTGGCAAATGTGCTTCCCGATTCTGAAAATGTTGGTTTAAAGGACAGTTTACTTAACAAACCATTATCATCAGCTGTAAATGGTCCTCTGGGAAGTACTGGAGGCGCACCAGAAGCCTCAAATGCCAGTGACTTACCTTGTCTTGACTTGGCCAAGAAACTATCACTCGACGACTACAACCTCAAATCTGCCAAACATGTCTTGGCTTCTGCCTCACAAACAGGGACCCGCGCCAATCGGTCTCTTCCTCCTTCGCCTGGTTCTTCTAGGCGGTCGGCTGTTGAGCCTGGCCTCTGGCAAACTCAAGAGCAGCGTCCCGAGCACTATCAGAGCTCCTACCGGTGTAAAGAAGAGAAGCAGCATATCAATACACAGTCACAACCGGAACCACATGAACTCTCAGATCGATCTGTAGACTTATTGAGATTCGAAAATAAAACCGGTTCCAGTGACTCCTCCCTTAAGTCGACTGACACTGCAATATATTTTGAACAGCCAGAGACATCCACTAAAACCCCTAGGCGACTGTCGGAGAGTAAAGCTAAACTAAGAGAAGATGGAGAACAAGGACCATCCATAGTTGATTCTCAATTACCAGAACGCCAAATCGCCCGTGATCGATCTCGTAAGCATCGCAGAGGCCCTGGCAATCGGAGCTACCCTGCCTGTCCAAAGCAAGTTGGAAGATCTTCTATGCTTAGCCCAGCGCTTCAGGCAACTCCCACTCTACATACTTCTGCTCTTTCTTCATCGCTTTCCTCAGCCTCCGGATCTTCCTCCTCGTCTTCAGCTGCATCTGTTTCTGCTTCTCCATGTTTCAATCCACCTTTGCATTTAGGAAGCAAAAATTCTAGGCGTCCAACAAAAAATCCGGAAATAAAGGTCCGTTATTCAAGACGAAAACCACGTCATGATTATAGCACTTGTTATTCTCATTCGGTTAATCATCATAATCACCACCTTGGTCATCACCATAGCTGTCGTTCCAGATCCAGGGCTAACTGCTGCCAACTTGACAACCTTTGTGATCGCCAACCTCACAATGCCAATTCTGATATCCAACACACCTCCGGCCAACAGCTTCGAAACTCACCGCACACGAATGCGAAAATACTGACTGACCAGGCAAAGCTACCTACTGAGTCTCAGGAACCAGGTAGTTTTCTGGCCAGCCACGTTTTTCTTCCTCGCCCCATATGTTGAAATATATTTTTTATTTACATCCCAATTTTTCTGCCTCTTTTTTGCATCCTTTTGGTATTTTCTTTATGTATACTTAATTTTTGGAGCCTTTCTCCGATATAGCTCACATTTTTCGCATGCTATGGTGAGCATTGATGCTTAAATTAGCCCTGATACATTTAGGCAAAGGCCCTATTTCACAGTTGAAATTTTGTCTATGATTCGACTTTTCATGTTATGTGGCAGACATCCTCATTTTGCCAAAAAGTGTAACAATATACTAAATCACGAAAAAGCTCGATAGCTCAGCAAAGATTCATTTTTACAACAGAAATGCGATATAATGATCTTGCGCAATCTAACAGTCTTCATTCCAATGGAATCCTCTGGAGTTTGCTGAGGCCAATTCATAAATCACTTTCCAACGGAAAATAGATTAACACAAAATCATTAAAAGATGCTCATAAACCCAGCTCTTCTCCACATACATGAAGTTTTCTGTGCTTTGCACATTGAAAGAGCCTTTCTCTCACAATTGGACTCTCCAACTTTACTCTTCTCTATTAGCTCTTGTATACGGATTTTATCCGTTGACCTTAGAAATAAGACTAATGCAAACACACAGTTCGCTTAATCATCATAATCACCACGAATTGCTATCAATACAAGATTCACGATCGTATACGTGATATTGGGCAAACCTTTATTCCCATATAAGAAGTGCCTGCATTTGCTTGGCGGGTTGTATGTTTTCTTTGCAATCCTGTGCCATATGTTCAGATCCCGTTACCTTTTAAATCATCAGAACACTCCCAGCATAGCCACTTTGTTAAACAAGACGTCTTACAATATGACAGTCGCTTCCACCAGATCCAGC